ACTATGGACGCATTTGTCCAATTGACACCTCTGAAGGAATCAATGTCGGACTTATTGGATCCTTGGCAATTCACGCAAGGATTGGTCGTTGGGGGTCTATAGAAAGTCCATTTTATGAAATTTCTGAGAGATCAAAAAGAATACGAATGCTTTCTTTATCACCAAGTAGAGATGAATACTATATGGTAGCGACGGGAAATTTTTTAGCACTGAATCGAGGTATTCAGGAGGAGCAGATTGTTCCAGCTCGATACCGTCAAGAATTTCTTACTATTGCATGGGAACAGGTTCATCTTCGAAGTATTTTTCCCTTCCAATATTTTTCTATTGGAGCTTCCCTCATTCCTTTTATCGAGCATAATGATGCGAATAGAGCTTTAATGAGTTCTAATATGCAACGTCAAGCAATTCCTCTTTCTCGGTCCGAAAAGTGCATTGTTGGAACTGGATTGGAACGCCAAGTGGCCTTAGATTCGGGAGTTCCCGCTATAGCCGAACACGAGGGAAAGATCGTTTATAATGATACTGAGAAGATTATTTTATTTGGAAGTGGGAATGGTCTAAGTATTCCATTAATTATATATCAACGTTCCAACAAAAATACTTGCATGCATCAAAAATCCCAGGTTCAGAAGGGTAAATGCGTAAAAAAGGGACAAATTTTAGCAGATGGTGCTGCTACAGTTGGTGGTGAACTCGCTTTGGGAAAAAACGTATTAGTAGCTTATATGCCATGGGAAGGTTACAATTCTGAAGATGCTGTACTCATTAGTGAGCGTCTGGTCTATGAAGATATTTATACTTCTTTTCACATACGGAAATATGAAATTCAGACTCATGTGACAAGCCATGGTCCTGAAAGAATCACTAATAAAATTCCACATCTAGAAGCGCATTTACTCCGAAATTTAGACAAAAATGGAATTGTAATTCTGGGATCTTGGGTAGAAACGGGCGATATTTTAGTGGGTAAATTAACGCCTCAAATGGCAAAAGAATCCTCATATGCCCCGGAAGATAGATTATTACGAGCTATACTTGGGATTCAGGTATCCACCTCAAAGGAAACTTGTCTAAAACTACCTATAGGTGGTAGGGGCCGAGTTATTGATGTGAGATGGCTCCACAAAAAAGCGGATTCTAGCTATAATCCAGAAACAATTCATATATATATTTCACAGAAACGTGAAATCAAAGTAGGTGATAAAGTGGCCGGGAGACATGGAAATAAAGGTATCGTTTCAAAGATTTTGTCTAGACAGGATATGCCTTATTTGCAAGATGGAAGACCCGTTGATATGGTCTTCAATCCATTAGGGGTCCCTTCTCGAATGAATGTAGGACAGATATTAGAATGTTCGCTCGGATTAGCTGGGAGTATGCTAAATAGACATTATCGAATAGCACCTTTTGATGAGAGATATGAACAAGAGGCTTCCAGAAAACTTGTGTTTTCTGAATTATATGAGGCCAGTAAAGAAACATCGAATCCATGGATATTTGAACCCGAGTATCCGGGAAAGAGCAGAATATTTGATGGAAGAACGGGGAATCCTTTTGAACAGCCCGTTATAATAGGAAAGCCTTATATCTTGAAATTAATTCATCAAGTTGATGATAAAATACATGGACGTTCCAGTGGACCTTATGCACTTGTTACACAACAACCCCTTAAAGGAAGGGCCAAACAAGGAGGACAACGGGTAGGCGAAATGGAAGTTTGGGCCCTCGAGGGATTCGGTGTTGCTCATATTTTACAAGAGATGCTTACTTATAAATCTGATCATATTAAAGCTCGTCAAGAAGTACTTGGAACTACAATTAGTGGAGGAACAATACCGAAACCTGTGGATGCTCCAGAATCTTTTCGATTGCTCGTTCGCGAACTACGATCTTTGGCTCTGGAACTGAATCATTTCCTTGTCTCTGAGAAAGACTTTCAGATTCAAAGGAAGGAAGTTTAATTGGACTGAATCCGAAATTTTATTTTATGATTGATCAGTATAAACATCAACACCTTCGAATTGGATCAGTTTCCTCTGAACAAATAAGTGCTTGGGCAAAAAAAATCCTACCTAATGGAGAAACAGTTGGGGAGGTAACAAACCCTATACTCTTCATTATAAAACCAATAAGCCTGAAAAAGATGGATTATTTTGTGAAAGAATTTTTGGGCCTATAAAAAGTGGGATTTGTGCTTGTGGAAATTATCGAGTAATCGGAGATAAAAAAGACCAACCTCAATTTTGTGAACAATGCGGAGTAGAATTTGTTGATTCTCGGATACGTAGATATCAAATGGGGTATATCAAATTAGCATGTCCAGTAACCCATGTGTGGTATTTGAAACGTCTTCCTAGTTATATCGCGAGCCTTTTAGATAAACCTCTTAAAGAATTAGAGGGTCTAGTATACTGCGATGTGTGATTTGATAAAAATTCTTATTGTACAGATTTCGAATGAAAAACTGTCATTCCATTCAATTAAATTGGAATGTCCTATATCTGGCATGTCTCTTGGGATGAGTAACATGAAGCTCAGAATTCAATTCATGGGTGTATTGAATACTCCCAATAAGGGAGTTGGTCTATGGTCAATTCAGTAACAAAAAACTCTTTATACTGTATGTACCTTGTGAAAAAAAAAATACTTTTTTGTGGAATTCATTATTCCATCTCTTTTTTTTTTTATTTTAAAAGAACTAAAATTATGTTCAAAGAATAAAATATATCATGATTGCAGAAGTTTATCTATCGCATATAGGCTTTAAGACATCGTGGCATACCCGTCGAGGTGACGTCTTGACCTAAAAGATCAAACGGTATGATACAGAGACAAAGAAATCTCTTATGAAGTCGAAGATATTCCTTTTTTATTAAGAATTTCATTTTAGAGGATTCCTCGTTCGAAGGGAGGTAGACTACTCAAGAATTTTACATTTTATTTCTGTCGGAATTTCGAATTGCATAAAAAATTCAGAAAAACCGAAGAATGTATCAATGAAATGTTGCTTGGTCTTTATTGATAACTTGAGTCAAGAGTAAACCTTTTTTATTTTATATTTTAGATTAGAGGTTTTCAAAAATATGAAAGCGGAAACCCCTTTCTTTATCTTTAATTGTGTGTAAATACTTTAGCCGGATGAGAGGAAACCCTCATGTCCGATTTTCAAAGGGGGAGATCCATCTTATTGGATCCTATCCAAATTTTTCTTTTGCTAGGCCCGTAGTTAAAAAACCAACTTTCTTACGATTACGAGGTTCATTCGACTATGAAATCCAATCCTGGAGATACAGTCTCCCACTCTTTTTTGCTACTCAAGGTTTGGATACATTTCGAAATAGAGAAATTTCTAGTGGAGCGGGTGCTATACGAGAACAATTAGTTGATCTGGATTTAAGAATGATTATGGATTCTTCGTTGCTAGAATGGACAGAATTAGGAGAAGAGGGGTCCACTGACAATGAAAATGAATGGGAAGATCAAAAAGTTGGAAGAAGAAAGAATTTTTTGGTTCGACGCATGGAATTAGCTAAGCATTTTATCCGAACAAATATAGAACCAGAATGGATGGTATTATGTCTCTTACCAGTGCTTCCTCCCGAATTGAGACCAATTATTCAAATAGATGGCGGTAAACTAATGAGTTCGGATATTAATGAACTCTATAGAAGAGTTATCTATCGGAACAATACTCTTATTGATCTATTAACAACAAGTAGATCTACACCAGAGGAATTAGTAATGTGTCAAGAAAAATTGGTACAAGAAGCCGTGGATACACTTCTTGATAATGGAATCCGCGGACAACCAATGAGGGACGGTAATAATAAAGTTTACAAATCGTTTTCCGATATAATTGAGGGCAAAGAGGGAAGATTTCGAGAGACTCTTCTTGGAAAACGAGTTGATTATTCGGGGCGTTCTGTTATTGTCGTAGGTCCATCACTTTCATTACATCGATGTGGATTGCCCCGCGAAATAGCAATAGAGCTATTTCAGACGTTTCTAATTCGTGGTTTAATTCAAAACCATTTTGCTTCGAACATAGGAGTTGCTAAGAGGAAAATCCGGGAAAAAGAACCCATTGTATGGGAAATACTTCAAGAAGTTATGCGGGGGCATCCAGTATTGCTGAATAGAGCGCCTACTTTGCATAGATTGGGCATACAGGCATTTCAACCCATTTTAGTCGAAGGACGTGCTATTTGTTTACATCCATTGGTGTGTAAGGGATTCAATGCAGACTTTGATGGGGATCAAATGGCTGTTCATGTGCCTTTATCTTTGGAGGCTCAAGCAGAAGCTCGTTTACTTATGTTTTCTCATACGAATCTCTTGTCTCCGGCTATTGGGGATCCCATTTGTGTACCAACTCAAGATATGCTTATTGGACTTTACGTATTAACTAGCGGAAATCGTCGAGGTATTTGTGCAAACAGGTATAATTCGTTTAATTCCCGAAATTCTCACAATGAAAAAATTAGCAATAATAACTTGAAGTATATGAAAAAAAAAGAACCCTTTTTTTGCAATTCCTATGATGCAATTGGAGCTTATAGACAGAAAAGAATAAATTTCGATAGTCCTTTTTGGCTCCGGTGGCGAATAGATCAATGCATTATGTCTTCAAGAGAAGTTCCTATCGAAGTTCACTATGAATCTTTTGGTACCTATTATGAGATTTATGGGGATTATTTAGTAATAAGAAGTATAAAAAAAGAAATTCGTTGTATATACATTCGAACCACTATTGGTCATATTTCTTTTTATCGAGAAATCGAAGAAGCTATACAAGGTTTTTCTCGAGCCGATTCATATGGTATCTAATCATATAAATGGTTAGTGTTGGTATCCACGCTAAGTCAATTTATGATACTGGTGTAAATTCAGGTCAACTAGCATCTTTTCAATTTTCTACGTGAATAAACATAAAGAAAAGGAAGTTTTCCAATCATTAACTCAAATCCATTGTCGAACCGAATAACACTGAGTGGAATATGGAGGTACTTATGGCAGAACGGGCCGATCTAGTCTTTCACAATAACGTGATAGGTGGAACTGCCATTAAACGACTTATTAGCAGATTAATAGATCATTTCGGAATGGCATATACATCACACATCCTAGATCAAGTAAAGACTCTAGGATTCCATCAAGCTACTGCTACATCTATTTCATTAGGAATTGATGATCTTTTAACAATACCTTCAAAAGGATGGCTAGTCCAAGATGCTGAACAACAAAGTTCCATTTTGGAAAAACATAATCATTATGGAAATGTCCATGCGGTAGAAAAATTACGCCAATCCATTGAAATATGGTATGCTACAAGCGAATATTTGCGACAACAAATGAATTCCAATTTTAGGATGACTGACCCCTTTAATCCAGTCCATATCATGTCTTTTTCAGGAGCTAGAGGAAATGCATCTCAAGTGCACCAATTAGTCGGAATGAGAGGATTAATGTCAGATCCACAAGGACAAATGATTGATTTACCCATTCAAAGCAATTTACGTGAAGGACTGTCTTTAACAGAATATATAATTTCTTGCTACGGAGCCCGTAAAGGGGTTGTAGATACTGCTGTACGAACATCAGATGCTGGATATCTTACACGTCGACTTGTTGAAGTGGTTCAACACATTGTTGTACGGCGAACAGATTGCGGTACCATCCGTGGGATTTATGTAAACACCCGAAATGGAATGATGCCAGAAAGAATTTTGATACAAACATTAATTGGTCGTGTAGTAGCAGACGATATATATATAGGTTCACGGTGCATTGTCGTTAGAAATCAAGATATTGGAATTGGACTTATCAATCGATTCATAACTTTTCAAACACAACCAATATTTATTCGAACCCCCTTTACCTGTAGGAATACGTCTTGGATCTGCCGATTGTGTTATGGGCGGAGTCCTATTCATGGGGACCTGGTAGAATTGGGAGAAGCTGTAGGGATTATTGCTGGTCAATCTATTGGAGAACCGGGAACTCAACTAACATTAAGAACTTTTCATACTGGTGGAGTATTCACAGGGGGTACTGCTGAATATGTGCGAGCCCCCTCGAATGGAAAAATAAAATTTAATGAGGATTTAGTTCACCCTACACGGACACGTCATGGATATCCTGCTTTTATATGTAATATAGACTTCTATGTAACTATTGAAAGTGACGATATTATACATAACGTCATTATTCCACCAAAAAGTTTTCTATTAGTTCAAAATAATCAATATGTAAAATCAGAACAAGTGATTGCGGAGATCCGCGCGGGAACATCTACTTTAAATTTGAAAGAGAGGGTTCAAAAACATATTTATTCTGACTCAGAAGGGGAAATGCATTGGAGTACCGATGTGTACCATACATCACAATTTATATATAGTAATGTACATATCTTACCAAAAACAAGTCATTTATGGATATTGTCAGGAAAGTCGTGCAGGTCTAATACAATCCATTTTTTACTTCGCAAGGATCAAGATCAAGTTACCATGGATTCACTTTCTAATGGAAAAACAAATATTTCGAATCTTTTAGAAAGGAATGATCAAGTAAAACATAAATTCAATACTTTTGGTACAAAAGAAAAGTGGATTAGCGATTCTTCAATATTGAATCAAATCATATGTACAGATCATTCTGATTTAATGTATCCTGCTATTTTGAACGATACTTTTTATTTCTTGGCGAAAAGGCGAAGAAATAGATTTCTTATTCCATTTCCATTCCAATCGATTCAAGAACGAAAGAACGAACTAATGTCCCCTTCCGGTGTCTCCATTGAAATACCTATCAATGGTATTTTTCATGAAAATAGTATTTTTGCTTATTTCAATGATCCTCAATACATAAGACAGAGTTCAGGAATTACTAAATATACAACTATAGGAATTCATTCTATTTTTCAAAAAGAAGATTTCAGTGAGTATCAAGGAATCGAAGAAGTAAAGCCAAAATACCAAATTCAAGTAGATAAATTTTTTTTTATTCCCGAAGAAGTGCATATTTTACCCGAATCTTCTTCCCTAATGGTACGGAATAATAGTCTTGTTGGAATAGGAACACCAATCACTTTCAATATAAGAAGTCGAGTAGGCGGATTGGTCCGATTAGAAAAGAAAAAAAAAATAGAATTAAAAATATTTTCTGGAAATATCCATTTTCCCGGAGAGATGGATAAGATATCCCGACACAGTGCCATCTTGAGACCGCCCGGAACGGTAAAAAAAAAATGCAAGGAATCAAAAAAATTTAAAAATTGGATTTATGTCCAATGGATCGCAACTACCAAGAAAAAGTATTTTGTTTTGGTTCGACCTGTAATTTTATATGAAATACCGGACAGTATCAATTTTGTAAAACTTTTTCCCCAAGATCTATTCCAGGAAAAGGATAATCTGGAACTAAAAGTTGTCAATTATATTCTTTATGGAAATGGAAAATCCATTCGGGGAATTTCCGACACAAGGATTCAATTAGTTCGGACTTGTTTAGTCTTCAATTGGGATCACGGGAAAAAAAGTTCTTCTATTGAGGAGGCCCCCGCTTCCTTTATTGAAGTAAGTACAAATGGTTTGATTGAGTATTTTCTAAGAATTGACTTAGTCAAATCTAATACTTCATATATTAGAAAAAGAAATGACCCGTCTGGTTTAGGATTGATCAGGGATAATCAATCGGATCGAATCAATCCCTTTTTTTCTATTCATTCCAAGGGAAAAATTCAACAATCACTTAGCCAAAATCACGGAACTATTCGTATGTTGTTGAATAAAAAGAAAGAATGCCGATCTTGGATAATTTTGTCATCATCTAATTGTTTTCAAATGAGACCATTCAACAATGTAAAATATCACAATGGAATAAAAAAAGATCCTATAATTTCAATTAATAATAATAATTCGTTCGGCCCTTTAGGAATAGCCCTTCAAGTTGCGAATTTTTATTCACTTTATCATTTAATAACTCATAATAAGATCTCAATCATTAAAAATTTGCAACTTGACAAATTCACTGAAATTTTTCAAGTAATTAAATATTATTTAATGGACGAAAATGAGAAAATTTTTAAACCCGATCTATACAGTAATATTGTTTTGAATCCATTCCATTTGAATTGGTTTTTTCTCCATCATTTTTATTGTGAAAAAACGTTTACAATAATAAGTCTTGGACAATTGATTTGTGAAAATATATGTATAGCTAAAATGAAAAATGGACCACACCTAAAACTAAAATCGGGTCAAGTTATAACAGTTCAAATGGATTCTGTAATAATAAGATTGGCTAATCCTTATTTGGCGACTCCAGAAGCAACCATTCACGGCCATTATGGGGAGATCCTTTCTCAAGGAGATATTTTAGTTACATTCATATATGAAAAATCGAGATCCGGTGATATAACACAAGGTCTTCCAAAAGTGGAACAGATATTAGAAATACGTTCGATTGATTCAATATCCATGAATCTAGAAAAAAGAATTGATGCTTGGAACGAGTGTATAACAAAAATTCTCGGCATGCCTTGGGGATTCTTGATTGGTGCTGAGCTAACTATAGCGCAAAGTCGTATTTCTTTGGTTAATAAAATCCAAAAGGTTTATCGATCCCAGGGAGTACATATCCATAATAGACATATCGAGATTATTGTGCGTCAAATAACATCCAAAGTCTTGGTTTCAGAAGATGGAATGTCTAATGTATTTTTACCTGGCGAACTAATTGGATTATTGCGAGCAGAACGAATGGGGCGTGCCTTGGAAGAACCCATTTGTTACCGAGCTTTATTATTGGGAATAACAAAAACATCTCTGAATACTCAAAGTTTCATATCTGAAGCGAGTTTTCAAGAAACTGCTAGAGTTTTAGCAAAAGCCGCTCTTCGGGGTCGTATTGATTGGTTGAAAGGTCTTAAAGAGAATGTTGTTTTAGGGGGGATGATACCCGTTGGTACCGGATTCAAAAGAATAATGCACCGTTCACGGTCAAGGCAACATAACAAGATTACCCGGAAAAAAAAATTATTCGAAGTAGAAATTAGAAATCTTTTGTTCCATCACAGAAAATTCTTTGATTTTTATCATTTCAAAGAATTTATGTGATACATTATTAGAAATATAGGATTAAATGGTTCCTAAAAGCGGATTCGACTCAGCCCCTTAAAATCTTTAAATGCAGTCATTTGATTTGGTAATAAAGTAGAATAAAAAATAATAATAAATAGAAATAAAAGAATGGCCTGATTCTATCTTAACGGCCAATCGTCTATAAAAGAGAAGGTTCCATCGGAACAATTATTTATTGCTATTTCAGGATACTGGGTCTCTCTTTATTTTTTTTCAATTTTTTTTTTAAAAAAAAAAATGTGGGGATAAATGACAAAAAGATATTGGAACATCACTTTTGAAGAGATGATGGAAGCTGGGGTTCATTTTGGCCATGAGCCTAGGAACTGGAATCCTCGAATGGCACCTTTTATATCGGGAAAACGTAAAGGTATTCATATTACAAATCTTACTAAAACTGCTCGTTTTTTATCAGAAGCTTGTGATTTGGCTTTTGATGCAGCAAGCACAGGAAAACAATTTTTAATTGTTGGTACAAAAAAAAAAGCAGCCGATTCAGTAACACGGGCTGCAATAAGAGCTCGATGTCATTATGTTAATAAAAAATGGCTCAGAGGTATGTTAACGAATTGGTATACTACAGAAACGAGACTTCGTGAGTTCAGGGACTTGAGAACGGAGCAAAAGACGGGGAAACTGAACTCTCTTCCAAAAAGAGATGCCACTATGTTGAAGAGACAATTATCTCATTTGGAAAGATATCTAGGCGGTATAAAATATATGACAAGATTACCTGATATTGTAATAATCCTTGATCAGCAAGAAGAATATACGGCTCTTCAAGAATGTATCACTTTGGGAATTCCAACGATTTCTTTAATTGATACAAATTCTGACCCAGATCTTGCAGATATTTCGATTCCGGCTAATGATGATGCTATAGCTTCCATCGGATTAATTCTTAACAAATTAGTTTTTGCAATTTGTGAGGGTCGTTCTAGCTATATACAAAAAAATTGATTAATAATAAGATAAATCAATTTTTCGATTTGGTTGGGCGTGCGGTCATAGATTTTTGGAATTGGTTATTATAGCATTACAAAATTGTGTAAAAAGAAATATTTTGTGATTAGTTAGGTATTCAAAATAGAAAATCAAAGTAAAATAAGGAAATGGTTGAATCAAAATAATTCCCTTTCAAGGTATATTTTTTTATTTTAGAGGACAGGGCAATATGAATGTTCTATTATGTTACATCAACACATTAAACAGATTCTATGATATATCTGCTGTGGAAGTAGGTCAACATTTCTATTGGCAAATAGGGTATTTTCAAGTGCATGCTCAAGTACTTATTACCTCTTGGGTTGTAATTGCTATCTTATTAATTTCAACCATTCTAGTTGTTAGAAATCCGCAAACTATTCCCACGTCTGGTCAGAATTTTTTTGAATATGTCCTTGAATTCATTCGAGACGTGAGCAAAACTCAGATTGGAGAAGAATATGGTCCATGGGTTCCGTTTATTGGAACTCTGTTTCTATTTATTTTTGTTTCGAATTGGTCAGGGGCCCTTTTGCCTTGGAAAATTATAAAGTTACCTCATGGAGAGTTAGCTGCACCCACAAATGATATAAATACTACTGTTGCATTAGCTTTACTTACGTCAGTAGCCTATTTCTATGCGGGTATTTCAAAAAAGGGATTGGCCTATTTTGGTAAATACATCCAACCAACGCCAATCCTTTTACCGATTAACATCTTAGAAGATTTCACAAAACCCTTATCGCTTAGTTTTCGACTTTTTGGAAATATATTAGCGGATGAATTAGTAGTTGTTGTTCTTGTTTCGTTAGTACCTTTAGTAGTTCCTATACCTGTTATGTTCCTTGGATTATTTACAAGTGGTATTCAAGCTCTTATTTTCGCTACTTTAGCTGCGGCGTATATAGGTGAATCCATGGAAGGGCATCATTGACTAGTTATCAAAATCGTGTTTTAGCCCGTAACAAAGTATGTGTGGCTCGCGATAATATACTTAAGGAATATTAATAAAAAAATACAAAGAAATTTTAAAAAGGTTTAATAACAATCAAAAAGTAGAAAGAAAATTAAAACAATTACCAGGGAATTGTAAAAAAAAAAAATAGAGATTAAATAAATTAACAAAGGTTGAGGGGGTCAAACTAGGTGTATATATAATCTAATCGTTATAAGACAGCTGGGGGATTTCCAAGAATGATTGATTGAATCTAAGATACAACTCATTGGTTTACGGTATGGAACAAACACATGTATATGTCATAGTAGATATTCATTAGTTATATATGACGATCTATCTAAATTTGTTCTGCTACTACTCTAAATTTAGGTAGGGATTCAAAAAAAAGATTCCATCTCTTGTAATTCTGAATTGAATATAAAAAAATGACTAAAAAAATGAAATCAAAGAAAAAAAAAGTTTAAAATGTAAGATAAGACCAAAAATTGTATGTATTCACAAAAAACTACAAGGGTAGAAACGAAAAAAGTGAATATCGAAGTAATTGGGATAATTCAATAAAAATTATTAAGTTTGAAATTTTGAATTACACTTCGACTAGATAAAGAGAAATATGAAGAATGAAATAATTAAGTCATAAATTTTTTGTTGATTATATTATTAACTATTTTTTTATTTTCTTTGGAATAGGAGAAACTTATCATGAATCCACTGATTGCTGCTGCTTCTGTTATCGCTGCTGGGTTGGCCGTCGGGCTTGCTTCTATTGGACCTGGAGTTGGTCAAGGCACAGCTGCAGGGCAAGCTGTAGAAGGGATTGCGAGACAACCGGAAGCAGAGGACAAAATACGGGGTACTTTATTACTTAGTCTGGCTTTTATGGAAGCTTTAACTATTTATGGGCTGGTTGTAGCATTAGCTCTTTTATTTGCCAATCCTTTTGTTTAATAAAAAAAATACATCTTGTTTTTTCCATGGACTTTCGTTGCTGCTCTTGCTTTTTTTTCATTCTATTTAGATTTTACTCCTACAATTTTTTCTTCATTCGGATTAACATACTGATTCGCCTTCTTCCGTCCCTTTTTTTAGTCCACTGACCCCTTAATTTTGATTTAGAAAGTGTTGAAACCAACTAAGTATTTTGCAATTGACATAAGAACTAGTATTTCCTTCTAAGAAGTATCATTCTTATAGGGACTCTTTCAATTGACTAACCAATTTTAGTATATTTTTATTCTTACTAATATACTCATTTTAGTAAGAATAAAAATATACTAATTTGATATATTCATATTAAATAATTAAAAAATTAGATTATAGAATAAACTATCATAAACAAATAAAAAAAACTTGGAATCGTAAAAAGAAATTTTGTCTATCCATAAGAGGAGATGCGATCATATGAAAAATATAACCGATTCTTTTCTTTGCTTCATTTACTGGCCATCCGCCGGAAGTTTCGGGTTTGATACCGATATTTTAGCAACAAATCTAATAAATCTAAGTGCAGTGCTAGGTGTATTGATTTTTTTTGGAAAGGGAGTGTGTGCGAGTTGTTTATTTCAAAGAATAGATTGGATACAACCAACTGCACTTTTTTTGTTATAACTAGGAAAATGTGCATGATCCGGCGAATGACTTCTTACAAAATAACGAAAAAAAATAGTTAAGAACCATAGCATTTCGCGATTCATTGGGAAATCTACTTTGATTCTCTATCAACCAAGAATTTTGGAACATTACCATGGTTAAAGCTAACCAGTTTGAAGTTTCGACGCAGTCTAGTATTCTTTCTACCACTATGTTAATAGTGAAATTCGAATTTTTTCGATATAGAACACTCATGTCGAAAAACTGACTTGAATTCTCTTTATGATGGATGAAAAATAGGAAAAAGGTGTTGTGTTTAACGCCTCCGTTTCTACTTTTCTACAATGCAGAATTGATGACCTACGTATAAATTAATGAGAATTCTTTGGATTTCAAGAAAAAAAAAACAACTTTGCTGACAATTATTTGTTTGGTCAGAAGAGTCCTCCAAATATTGGGGTCTTGTATTGATAATCATTTTCAAGATTTTTCGAAATAGAGAAAAGAGGATAGGCTCATTCCATAATAAATATGGGGAAATTTCCTATAAGGAATTGAGTGTGAGAGCCAAATGAATTGAAAGATTCATGTTTGGTTCGGGAAGAGATCATAGACATTTTGAAATGAATGGAAAGAGAATCTACTTTCATTAAGTGATTTATTAGATAATCGAAAACAGAGAATCTTGAGAACTATTCGAAATTCAGAAGAACTACGGGAAACAGCCATTGAACAGCTGGAAAAAGCCCGGTCCCGTTTAAGGAAAGTAGAAATGGAAGCAGATCGGTTTCGAGTGAATGGTTATTCCGAGATAGAACGAGAAAAATTGAATTTAATTAATTCAATTTATACAACTTTGGAACAATTCGAAAATTACAAAAATGAAACCATTCATTTTGAACAACAAAGGGCAATTAATCAAGTGCAACAAAGGGTTTTACAACAAGCATTACAAGGAGCTCTGGGAACTTTGAATAGTTGCTTAAACAACGAGTTACATTTACGTACGATCAGTGCTAATATTGGTATGTTTGGGGCGATGAAAGAAAAAAATAACTGATTAGTTGTTCTACTATAATTGAGAGTATAGGCAGGCAGGCCTTCTTTTTGTTTTTCTTCGAAAAAGAATCAAATTCAGAAATATTCATGGTAACCATTCGTGCAGATGAAATTAGTAAAATTATCCGTGAACGTATTGAGCAATATAATACCGAAGTAAAAATTGTAAATACAGGTACCGTACTTCAAGTAGGCGATGGCATTGCTCGTATTTATGGTCTTGATGAAGTAATGGCGGGTGAATTAGTAGAATTTGAAGAAAGTACAGTAGGCATTGCTTTGAATTTGGAATCAAAAAATGTTGGTGTTGTATTAATGGGTGATGGTTTGATGATACAAGAGGGAAGTTCCGTAAAAGCAACAGGAAGAATTGCTCAGATACCGG